TACAAAAATGAAAGATAAATCTGATTTTTGGCATCAGATAAAACGTGATGAAAGAAAAAGAAATTAATCCGATTATCTTCATATTTTCTGTCAGATTTTTAAAAATAACATAGCAGTAAATAAATTTTTGAAAGTTTTGCCACAATCAGCTGATTCTGGTTTTTTTTTAATTTTTTTTAAAGTTCTGATGTATAAGTGCTCTTCTGTTTTATGGTAGATTAAATAGTAGATTTACTCTTATGAGTAACTTGACCTTAATATTTAAAATATTTAAAATAAGTAAAATTAAAAAATTCGAATCGGTGAATAAACTTAATTTTTATCAATTTTTCAATAAACATACGTTATTTTTTTTAGGAAAAAAAAAATAACGTAGGTATGTTTATTGAAAAAACTTCACCGTAAACTTAATTTTTATCAATTTTTCAATAAACATACGTTATTTTTTAGGAAAAAAATTCATTGCGTTATAGAGTTTTAACTAGGTAGGTGACTAGCCTGCCGTAGTTTTTTCTTTATAATTCTAGGTCACTACGAAACTGAAAGATTTACTATAATTGGGAAAAATGTTTGTAGATGTGGAAAAAAGTAATAAAAATAAATTTAATTTGAATAAGTATAAACAACAAAATTATTTAGTAACACCGAAAACTAACAGACTACTTACAATGAAGCACTTAAAAAATATATTTTTTAATTTGACTTTTTTATAAAAAGTCGAAAAGTTAAGTCGACCTTGTAAAGGAACTTATCATATGAAATGTGCTAATATTGTACACAGCATGTTTAAGTAGGTGAAAAGTGGAATTGTTTGTTGGACTTGCCCAAATTGTCCTCCTAGAAATGATGAGTCCTTCGCCCTGCTGAATGACCCAAACCATTTTCCTTTCAGATAATAATGAGCACCAACAAAATGCCGAACGAGCAACCCAAGTATTTTGTGGGTGATATATATGTATGTCATGTTCAACACTGATTCGACTAACTTTCGTGGGCGGATATGAGCTATTTTTTGTGATGGTATTACCGTGGGAACTGGTTTCGACGGATTTGGAGGAGGTGGAACAGGTGTTTTGCTATTTGCCGAAACCGGCTGCAACAGGTTTAGATAGCATTTCCGCAAAATTTGACGACTAAACGACTAAACAGAGAAGAGTTGATAGAAATCATTTGAATGCTTGATATTGGTAAAATTTTATGCCACCTTGTATTTTTCTATGTTTCTATTCTTTTAAAAATTTTGAAAACATTGTGTAGTTTAGTGTGGTTCTTGATGTAGTTGTATGCATAATCAACCCTTTGTGAGACGATTTTTTTACTTTAGGTGTTTGGTTTTTTGTTGACGTAAATTTGAGACCGAATTGCTTATGCTGTGGTCGTAATCTATGTTTATATTTTTCACAAACATCGCATTGCTATTAACGAAACGTTGCTTTTAAGAAAGTGACTTAATCATTTTACTTTTGTTTTTTTATTTAATATCGACTGCCACGTAGCCTCAATTGTATATTTTATATAAAAGCATTTATACTTACTATTAAGCTTCTATTTTATAAATTTTTTAATTATGTTGCCACTGAATAAAAAAAAAAAATTCATTTAATCACCAAACACGGATTCATATTGTGTTTTTTTCAAATAGTTAAATCTTTTTTTAAATAAATATTTTTTTAATAGCTTAACAAAAGTTTTTCACAAAATTATGTGCAATGACCATATTGTGTTTTTTTAAATAGTTATTTTTTTTTTAAATAGTTATTTTTTTTTTAAATAAATAATTTTTTTAATATTTTTTAACGAAAGCATTGCACAAAATTGTGAAATGTTTATTAAATATTTATTTCTTCTATTATAACGGTAAAATGCATTTGCTTTGAAAATTCGACATGTCAATAAGTCAATTACCTTTCACCAATTCACCAATATCAACCAATTTCACCAATTTTTTTGGTTTTATGTAAATATGTAGAACTTTTAGCAAAAAACCAAGTGAAAATACTGCTTTTAAGTACAGTCTATGTATACCTACTTCACTATTAAAATTGTTTTCATTCGTAAACGAAACTATTTCTAGGATTGCATATATTTGGGATGAACGATTTATGCAGTGTTTGAAATAAAGCAAAAATTAATATAAAGAGGGCTTAACATAATGCTAGATTTTGCATTAATTAACATAATGCTAGATAGAGGGTTAATTGCATGAGTTAAGAAAAATAATTTAATTTTTTAATGTCATGGATTTTACCGTTAGCATTTTGCGTTTATAGAAATTTGTAAAAGCTTGCGGTTTCGGAAATATAAAGCGTTAAAAATTCAAATTTTACAAATTTCAAGAGACAATAACTTGAGAATGGGTGGCGATGGAAAAAAAATTTTCTTCCAACGAGATAAACTATTTATTAGTTCAGGCCCCTACAATCTGGGGTCTAGAAGAAAAACGACATCCAAAATTTAGAAAAAACGGATTTTAAATAACAGTAAATTTGAACGGCCGTTTTGTTTTTTTAAAGTTTAACTATAGTATGCCGCGATAGGAGAAGCAAGCCACTGCCTCTCTGCGTTTGCAAAATTTGAAAAATGCTTATGGTTTCACTGCAATAAATAGTTGAAATAGTTGGCATTTTTAGGGTTTCGTGGGGTTATACCTTCTGGAAGGGAGATAGGTAAAAAGTTTCTTCTACAGAAATAAGTTTCTAGAAAAGGTCTATGTACATATAAAATTTCAACTTTGTATCTTCAAGGGTCTAGAAGTTTTGTAAACATGCCCACGAACGGACGGACGGACGGATCGGCGGACGGACCGATTGAAACTAATAAGCACTTTTTTTCAAAATTTTTTTGGAAAAGTGCTAGAAAGTTACTTCTGTAGATTTTGGAAGAAAAACTAAAAAAGCACATTTTATAAGCTGTTTCAAGTATAATTTTTTCCAATCCTTTAAAATTTTTTTTTTACTTATATAACTCAGACTTACTGAATCAAAATTCAAAATCGGAAATTGTAATACAAAAAAATTTCAGCTTAAAATAAACTAAAATTTTGAATTTCAAAATAAAAATTGACAAAAACCTAATTATGATCATGACATTACGTTTCAAAAACTTTCTTACAATTTTAAGGGTGTTAGTAAGATTTTTATCCGTATCATATTGGAAAAATGTAAATTTGGCTCTTATTAGAATTTTGCTTTGTGCAATCGAATTCCCTGAAAAGTTCACGAGTTACGTCAATCCATTTCGTAGATATGATAAAAAATGTAAAATAGGCCCTCAGATCGGTTTCCGAGTTCTGGTATTTTCAAAAAATTCATTGTCTTAACATCTCCATTTTATATATAAGTTTCAAGGAAATCGGTTAATTATTTTCCTTTATATATACGCAAAAATTTAAGATCGCCCCGCAAAAAGGTCAAGTTCCCGAGAACTCATATATCCCAAATCTTGATCAATACGTTTTATAGCCAAAGTAAATTCACATATAAAATTTCATCAAAATCGGTTTGGAAGATCTTGAGATTCGCGCGTGCACACACAGCTCGACAGACATTTCTCTAAAAGTAGTTTATTTACACGTCCCTACTATGATAGATATCTGATAGATATATATAGATAAAGTACATACAGACAAACAGGCCGACAGACTGACACCTCTCTAAAAATAGTTTATGTACGCTTCTCTACTAAGCAGAAGTGCGTTTCCAACAAAAACTCGATATGCAAAATTTTTTGACATCACATAACCTCCCTTATTGTATGCAATGTAAAAAGAGCGAGTATTAAATTTTATTTTTTATTATTATTTTAAATGAAAGTAACAAAAACAAAACAATAAAAGAAAAACATGTAACTGTGCGTATTGTATATCTTAAATTTCAATATCTTATACTGGTAATTGATTAACGTTTTATAAAATGTTAATCCAAACGAACTCTTGTGCTAAAACAATAATAAATTGAATGTTATTTTTATACCCTGCACCTTCATGAAGATATATTAACTTTGGTGTGGAGTTTGTAACCACTTGAAGGAGTCATCTCCGGTATGGATATGTGTATGTATTCTTGCTCAGCGTAAAATTCTGCGTTGATTTAGACGTGTCCGTCCATCCGATCAAAAACGAATAAAGCAAGTGCGACCAACATTTCACAAGTTGCTTTTTTTGTGCCAACGACGGCTGCTATTGTAAATGGACCAATTCGGACAACGGGTTCGGGTAGCTGCCATACAGCTCAAAGAGTTTATTTTAAATATTTCAAAAATTAATAAAGGTATAAAAATGAAATTTTGTATACGTGTAATTAAATAATCATTCAGAATTTTTTGTTATTTGGGTTATGTATTTGGCGTTTTCTTATTCAAGTTTGTTTATAAATGATTTTTATAATTCTATAGCTTAATATTAATATAAAATCGATTGATTATTTCTCTTTATATACGCAAAAGTGTGTATTTGGCCCGTAGTAAACGTCCATTTGCTGACACCTGATTTCTTCCAAAAGTTGGCAGGTTTCGCTGACGGTCGAATGAAGCTTATATATGAAATTTCATAATACGTGGCGCATAATAAAAATTGCTTTTCTTTATTTGTGCATAAAAGTAAGACTTTTTTTTTCCAAGACGTTCTTGGTTCCGAAGGTTTGAAGCAAAAGGTATCAAATATGGTCATTGGACTTTTATTGAAAAACGGTCGATTAAGATCCTCAAGGCTCTGGAAAAGGTTTCGAGGAAATAGGTCCATAAAACCAGAAAAAAATAATGCTACTAATACTTTAAGGTGGGAATTAGCCTGTAGGATGTAGGCCGATCTAGATCCTACAGTGCTAGACAAAAGTATATCGAAACGAGCTGCGTGAGATTGTTAGTGGTTTAGCAATAGAGAACTTTGACTACTCTCGAAACAGAATGAAATGATAAATGTGGTATGATAACGTTTTCCTTATTTAATCCGAAGCAGATTGAGATTAGTTAAAAAATAAATATGTGTTCGTTTTTTATTTCAGGACGTTGAGCGCAAAAAATTCGGTTTATTTTTTGCAATTGGAAAATCCTCAGATTGTGATTTGAATAAAAAATGTTGACAATTCTCAGAGCTCTAATACTATTTTTTCATTTAAAACCTGAAAAATTATTAAATGATGGAGTAAGCGGTTACTTTTTAAAATCAGAACTCTCCGATTATAAAATTTTTTCATTTGATTAGATCATGCTCTGACAACTCAGATCAGATTCAACTGCTGAAAACATGAAGAAATCTTGTTATCATAAAGCTTTACAAGAGATGACTAAAATAAAATTAAACTATATACAACTATAAACTAAATATAAAGTATCTAAAATAAAAATTTTCTTTATTGATCTAATAGGAATGAGTATTAAAAAAAATGTTTTTATGTAGGTACATTATTTCAAATATTGAATTTACTTGTTTTCTTTTCAGATTTTAATTTAATTATTCATTTGTAAAAGAAAGTTAAATATGGCACCAATGCCAGTTAATAAAAGCCCTCCATCAAAAGCACCAACATTCCTATTTTCCGTTGCTGATTCAGATGATTCCAGCCCATCACTTTCAAGCCCACCTAGTACAGGTATTTTAACATATTTTTACATTAGATTGTATTACAATTATTATGAGAATCTCGTAATTGATTTGAGCTTTATAATTGTTTTTCTTTAATTTCAGATGCTCCAAAATCACAATGCTCGTCGTTGTCAGAAGGTGAGCCTTTCGAAGGATTTGGAGAAAATGAAGTAGGTGGCAGTGGACGTGGGGGCGGTGTTTGTGTACAGCCAAACAATAGTAATACTGAAAATATAAGTTCAAGTGGAAACAGTGTGCACGTTGATCATCGAAGAAATGACAGTATTAATAATAACGGTGGTGTAGAACTGGAATTAGCACCACATGGTAACTCAACTCCAAGCGGGTAATAATTTATATACTCTTATATATATGTATATACGTATTTGTCTGATCTATTATTATTACAGTTGTATTATTATTAATTTCGCAACCAGTATTGGCAGGAAACAAACTCTGTTAATGCAACACAATAAAATTTAAATAAAAACATGAAACCTGTTATTAAAATCATAAATATTTTTTGTGCATATATGTTTAGATATGTATGTTAATAAAAAATTGAGCAAACCTGTAATCAAGCAGGCAGTCAAATATCTAAATACTGGGGGCACCTGTGGTTCGCTTATTAACAGCATTTTCTACTAAGTGAATTTTTAAAGGACGGTATTCGATTATTTTTGAACGTCCTTTATAAATTAACGATAGTGCACTTTCTAAAAGTGTTCATTTTATCCCTAGAATTTTTCTGGATATATAAAAAAACAATGCTTTAAATTTGTTTTAATGTTAAACTTAACCTCGTCTGAAAACCATTCGATGTATCGTGCTATCAAATTTAGTAACGAGCTCAGCTTTATCATGTTCATTTCATAGATAACCTAGAAAATTTCGTCAAAAAATCTGAAAAAAAAAACCAGACTTTATATTTGTAGGGTTTTCTATCAGAATATGATATTTACATTTTTAACAACAAAAAAGCTATGAATGCAGCATTACTTAAAATTTTAAGCGCTTTCTAATGCAAGAAAAAAAAATGAAAAAAAAAAATCCTTGAAAATATAACTAACTAATTGTTCTAAAAAATTTTCTGACAAAATTAGATATCAACAGTTATTCACTTTTCGAATTGAAATATAGATATGTCATGATAACCACTTTTGAAATGAAAATGTCTTCTAGTTTTTATACAGTTTCGTTTTAAGTTGAAAATGAAACAACTGCACCTTTCATTTCTACATTTTATATTTAAATGTTCATGCTGGTTATTTTCATATAAGTAAAACGCACATTTAAAAACATTTAAAATAAGATAAGTCTGATTGAGACTAATTGCAATTGCAAAAAGTGTATATCTTATTTGATATAGAAAAATATATTAAAATTTTAAAACTATGTAGTATTTAGTAGCAACATTTTAAAATGATAACTTTTAAAACCATCTTTACTAAATTTTCACTAGTTAGTTTCCTTAAAACAAAACACAAAAAAATTGCAATGGTGTTTTACTCGAAAGGGCAAAAGTGTAGATATCATGTTCTGACAAAAAATCTTAAATTTAATTGCACATTTTTATTGCCCTATAACTAATGTTTATCAAAAACTATTCTTATTAGAATTAAATTTTCAAAAAAACAAAAGTATGAATCAAATTATTTTTAAAAGTATAATTTTTACTGATTTTGATTTTTTTTTCTGTTGATCCTTTAAATAAAAAAAACTCTGATGTGATCAGCACATAACCGACCGCAATGTGTATTGTCTAGTTAAGTGAAAATGTCACAGAATATTATAAAAAGGTCTGTTAAATACTGCTTTCCAGTTTTTAGGACATTAGTAAGCTTATAGTTAACATACCTAGAAAAACGTAAATTTGGCTCTTAGTAGAGTTTCATTTTGTGCTACCCGAATTCCCTGAAATGCACGCCAGTTAGTTTTGGTAACAACCAGAACTCAAAACTCAAATTTCAAAAAATTCCATCAATTCGTTCCGTAGATATGGTAAAAAATGTGAAATCGGCCCGCAGATCAGTTTTCGAGCTCTGATCTTCCCAATGAATTTATATGTTCATTGTTTTATTGCGAAGAATTTAAATATTAAATTTCAATGAAATTGGTTTATTATATATGAAATTTCATTTCATATATAATCAACCAATTGAAAGAAATGAATTGGTTGATTATATATGAAATTTCAAGTACTTAAATCGGTTGAATATTTTCTTTAAAATAGTCAAAAATGCAAAACAGGCCCACTAAAAAGTGCAGTTCCCGAGACCTGATATATTCCAAAAGATCAATCCGTGCCATGGTCGAAATAAACTTACATATAAAATTTCATCAAAATCGGTTCAACCGAACTTGAGATACACGCGTGCACACACAGACCGACAAACCGACAGACCGGCGGACCGACAGGTTGCTAAAAACAGTTTATTTACACTTCCCTACCATGAAGAAGTGCATTCCCACCGAAAACTCGATATGCAAAATTTGCTGCCATCACATAACCTGCCTATTGTATACACAATACGGTCGGTAAAAATTAATTATTTTGATGGTTTAATATTCTTAAAACAAAAGTGATTTTTTTAACCATTTTTCCATTTCATCGTTGGCCATCAGCACAAAATTGCCTGTAAGATGAAGGGTAACTTATATCAACATAATAAAATCAACCTTACTTCACAAACAATAAGTTTCAAAATATCAAAATCAGTATTCGGTTAAGCTGGATTCACTGATTCGTCGCTTTCGCGACGAGCTGATGTATTTTGTATGAAAATTTGAATTCTTGACATTCTCTTTATTTTTAGTATAGCTTTTTTTCCTCTCTCTCAAAAAGTTGAATCCGTGCCACAGTTCAACTTTAGTTAGCTCAAAAACGACGAACCAGTGAATCCAGCTTTAGTCAAGCAAGCACACGCACACAATTCATTTTAAATAATTTTTTTGTGTATTGATTTTTGAAATACGGGATTAGCGTTTAAAAAAATTGGCAAATTTAAAAAAGTCTAACGTGTTGGGTAAGAAATCTGGTCATTTTGCAGACTTTTGCAAAATCTGAAAAATTCAGATAATCCTGGCAATATGGTAACGCTGAAGGAGCTACAGCAAATTACAGCAAACACAAAAAATAAGTTTTTAGTTTTCATTTGTTTAAATCTCTTTGATCAATTACAATTTTACATCGACGAATATTACATGGTAAAACTGTAAAAATGGGAGGCATTTTGTGGCTTTGATATTTTTTAAACAAAACTTCATATCAGGGGTGAAAATTGGGGTGACAAAATTTGAGAATGCACAATTTTGTAGCCAGTATAAAATATTATAAATATTTTATTGGGACCGAATGATTGTAATTTCACAACATATTCTAAGGCTTTAATACCGAAAAGAAAACATTTTATGTCATCATTATTTAATTAAAAAGAAATGTAATATTTTGTAATAAAAATTACATGTTTTGTATTACAACATTTTTTGCTCGCCTATATGTTGTATTGAATTCGAAGTAGAATTCTAAGTCGATTTACCTATGTCTGTTTGCTGTTGTGAAAGGGCTTATTTAATAATGACCTAGATGGAATAAAATAAATATTTGAGAAGTAAATACAAGTATCTGCATAACATTCATGTAGTCACTCACCAATATTTGTTTGCAATTACAAAATACAAAAAGTTCCCTTATTTAAAAGAGTAAAGAAGTATACATATATTACTTTCCATTTTTTACACATTGGAATTTTTGAGGGAGAAAAAGAATACGCAATTGATATACATGCACTTATTTTTTTAATGTACTTTTAAAGACACAAAAGTTTAATTTTCGTATATAAAGTTAAAAATATTAACCATTTTTAAAGCGTTCGAAACCATTTTTGTAACTCATCCAGTACAAGGTGCCAAAAATGATGTATCCATATATTAAAAGCGTAGCGATTTAAAAAAGAAATTGAGTGTAATAAAATACACTCAAATATAAAAAATAATATAAAAATTTATAGATAATTGCAAAAAATAATAAAGTTATAAAAAGACAAAATAATGTTAAAAAAAATTAAATTTTATTTTAATCTTGTCTTTGTAATTTAAAACCCATATTTCTTATGAATATACATACATATGTACCTATAATTGATATATTTCACAAAGTAACCAGTGTGCATACACATTTTTTTCTTTATAAATTGCTTTATTTTTTATCTCATTTATGTTGCAGAAAAAAATAATAAAAATTTTTGAGAAATTTCGAGTTTTTTAATAATTTCGAAAAAGAAATTCCTCCTTTGCTGGAAGTTAATCAAAGATACATACCTAAAATCATTTGCCTTATATGAGCACTCTGTACATGTACAATATATGAAATTTTAAACTTGTCTCAGTTGTTTTCATAAACGTTTTTACCTAACTTTTATGAAATGAAAAATAAAATATTATGAAAAATAAATTTTGTTTTTATCAAGATTTACTTAATTTTATTTCAGTTCACTATTTCAGTTTGTTTATAAAATTTTGTTTTTTTTTTCTTGTGTACACAACTTTTATTACTATCTATTTCTTAATAAAAGTGGAATATTTTGGGAATAGTGGAAGTGACAAGCAAACGAAAGTTAACGGCTTCAAATAAGCCGAACATTATTCTTAAAAAGATATTTGATTTTAATAATAACCAAAGCATATCTATTTTACAAGTAGTTTTATTTTTTGTTTATTTGTCTATTATATATGTATACATAGCTATACATGTTTTATAACAATATTCATCTGTTATACATTAAGAAAAACAAAATATATAAACAAGATAAAATAGCAAAAAAAATATAAAAAAATAAAAATACGTACTCCGGCAAGCATTGATCTAATAACCATCTGGTGATCAGACTATCTACGAGTACGTAGTAACTTGAATATACCTTTCAAAATCTTTACTTTATTCATATTTCGTACTCTTCAAAAACCATCCTACTTTACATTATATTATATATGTACATATATGAATATAGCTACTTCTGAAGTGTGAAAAAGTGCGGATACTTCTAGAAGGGCTAGAGACATGGGACAAAAAGCATTAGGGTTTTGCTAGTATGGTACCATCCGGTACTAAATGGTACTACATCTTATGGGAGTAATTTGCATTTATTTTTGATAGAATGAACATTGTTTACAAATTATTTTCTAGAAGTGTGAGTTATAACAAGGAGTGCAAACTTCCTTAAGTAAGTGATTAAAGTTAATAAAATTTACTTTGCTGAAGTAGATAGTACAAGTAGATGCATAAGTATTGCATTCTTTTCGCGATTTGTTGCAAAAGTGCAAAATGTATTAATAAGCAAAACCTAAGTGTATATTAAATTTATTCACAATATATTTTTAAAGCAAAATTTTATATGAAAATGTTTCAAATCTTATTACATTAGAGTTTAACAAATAGAGTATTTCCAAAAAACATTTAGGGGCGGAAACTCGCTAATATTGATATGATAAACCTTTTTTTTTCATTTTAAATAAGAAAAAAAATAAAATGATCAGTACAAAAAAAAAACATCTGACAGTTCGCATTTTTCAGCCAAAAATATAATTATCAGTTCTCATTGCCAAAAATATTATTATAGTACATAATACCTAATTATACATTCACGTACATATGTTATTTGTTTGCATTACAGATTAAAAATACTTATGTACATGGGTTCTGATTATTATTCTGATCATTAGAGTATTATTTTATGCGCAGTATTAAATGTGATGTAAACGAAGAGTCGAACTACTTGTAAAACTAATATGCTTTGTTTGATACTCGTATGTGCATGAAATCGTTTAAATCAAATTTTGCAGATTGTATATGAATAACAAATCTCTAAAATTTTTTGATATTATTTAAGTGACATTATTTTTTTATTTTTCTGTAGAGAAGAGGAGAGAGCACTAATATCAAGGCATAGTTGGGCCCGAACAAGTTTGCGCAGAACTCCTACAAGGTATGTATTTTATTGTACACTCAGTCAATTACTTTAACGTTTTTTCAACACTGCAGTAATATCTATAATTCAGCAATTTTTACCCCATAATTTTGAAGTCAGAAATTTTTAAGTGACGAAGATTATAGGTTATTCAACTTTAGTTCAATAGTTTCGTTGACATTATTTAAGTACATTTGTGTAAATTGAGACAGTTTCAACACGTTTCAAATAGATTATATGCCTATTTTTAATGTAAGGCATTAACATACAAACACAAGGTTATATCGTTTAATACATGCAGGGTGTCGTATTAAAGTACACTGCTATATACCATTGTATAAGCCTGATAAGTAGACAAAACTTTTCTATGTAGACCGTGTCCACAGCTCAACAGGTTCGAAGTTACAGGGACGTAAAGTTAGTTTCGACTGATTTTTTTACTTCTTGAAATTTTATGTATAACTTCGTGGCTATGTAAGAGAGGCCCACAATTAAAAATGATTTGGCAACCTGAAAATTCGAAATCACATGACTTTAAATTTTCGAAAAAATTGGAAATTTTAATTTTCCATTTAAAAACATCAACTTTCTAGATGATTTAACATTGGAGTTATTTTTATATTAAAACAGCTGGCAATCTTGTCTACTGGCCTTTAATTTGGTATTTGGGTCATCTTCGTATCTGTTCTGTTTGAGTATTTGCATAATAGGAGAGAAAAACTTTTTGAACGATTTTTGTAATTTTTCTAAGTCATTGAAGAAAAAAATTTGGCATATAGTTAGATATGCTGTATTCTATTTTTCTCAATAACTCCAGAACAGGTATGAAGATGACCCATATATCAAATTCAAGGTTGGCAGCTGTGCTAAAATTGGAGAAAGCTTCCTCGTTAAGTCTCCTAGAAAATTGAGTTAAATTTAAATTTTTTTTTAATTTTGAAGTCATGTGATGCCGAAATCTGAACAGGTAATAAATAATTCATATAGACATTCATATGAAACACTTATTCTCAGATTTCCAAATCATATTTAATAATGTGCTTGTCTTACGCAGGCCCATACAGTTATTCTTAAAACTTCAAAAAGTAAACAAAAGGTTTTACAAAAGTTTTGTCTACTCATAAGGGTCTATACAATGATATATAGCAATGCACTTTGATATGTGTAATAAACAATAAACCTTGTATTTGTTATAATATAATATACATATAAATGTGTATTACGCATAAATATATAAATATGTATTGTTATAAATATGTATTATATCCCTTAATACATATTTATAGTTTTAAGGTTATAAACTAAAATTCAATGCCCTTAAAAATTAGGTTTTTCTTTTAAACGACTATTTAGAAATTTCAAACGACTATTAGTTTCAATTCAAAATTTTTCAAATTCAACTTTGAAGTTTTATGTTATACTTCATTTGAAAAAAGAAATAGATTTTCGGTATTTCAAAATCTTAATCAATTCTTAGTGTTTTCTCCTGTCTTTTTAAAAATCTCAATATTACTATATTAAAATATTACTTTTACCGTATTATTAAGTGAAATTAGAAAAAGATGAGCAAAACAAATTTTTTGGCTGTTAAATTATTGTTGACGTTTATATACGGATAGAATTTTTGATGTTGGCATTCAAATGCCAACGTCAAAATGTGATGGCATTCAAATTTTGCATATCGAGTTTTCCATAGGGAAGCGTAAATAAACTATTTTTAGAGAGGTGTCGGTTTGTCGGTCTGTCTGTCTGTATGTGTGTGCACGCGTGTATTGCAAGTTTGGCTGAACCGATTTTCATGAAATTTTATATGTAAGTTTGTTTTGGCTATGTCACGGATTGATCAACTTTTGGGATATATCAGGCCTCGGGAACTGGACTTTCTAACGGGCCTATTTTACACTTTTGATCATTTTGAAAAAAATATTAACTGGACGTTTATTACAGGACAAATATACATTTTTGCATATATAAAGAAAAATAATCAACTGATTTAATTGAAATTTAATATTTAAATTCAAGGTAGTAAAGTAATGAATTTGTAATTTTTTTTGGGAAGATCAGGGTTTGGAAAATGATCTGGGGCCGATTTGATGGAATTTCATGAAATTTAATATTTGAGTTCAGGTTATCACCAAAAATTACTTTTCGTATGATTCGGACGGCATAAAATGAGACTTTACTAAGAGCCAAATTCACATTTTTCTAGGTATGTTAACTAAAAGGTTATTAGTGTCCTTAAAATTGTGAAGAAGTGTTTAAAACGCATTTTTATAATCTTTTCGAATATTTTTGCTAATCTAAATAATATACATTGCGGTCGGTTATGTGCTTTGTTCTATTGACAAAAAATATGTTTTTTTATGAGAAAAAATCGTTACTTAAATATAAAGTATATGTACTTACATTGAATTTACAAAAAAATGAAAAACGCGTGTGCTCACTAAACGCTGAAGTAGTACTCCCAAATTACAATTTAAGAAAGAGGTTTGAATTTTCTACAAAACTGCATAGCCGAGTTGTATATCTAATTTTTAGTTTAACAGAAAAGTTTTTTGTTATCATAGTTTATCCTAGTTTTTGTTGAACATATCATTCGCAAATTATATAAACTGTCGCGTTTTATATATTCGCAATATACTTGTAAATGACAGATAAGGATTCAATTATATTTTCTAAAAAATCGATAAGCTAACACAATTTTGATCGTCATCATAGAAATCGCGTATGTTATTGCATTATTATTCATAGTTTTTAAAAAAATTATTGTTTTTTTAATATTGACTGTATTTTTTTTATTTTTAATAAAATTAAATTTCTATTTGCAATTTCAAATAATTAATATTTTCAATATTAGTTAATAATAATTCGATTTTTGTTATAACTGTATCTAAGCAATTGTATAAATATAAAAAATAATTTTATAATATAAAATTGACAAAAAGTCTACAACAACATAATTTTTTTACAGCAATCCCGATAATATACCAAATCGTCGTTGGGGATCAATGAGACAGTAAGATTAAATAACTAATAACTAAATTATAATTATTTCTACATTGTTTTATTCTTTTCTCTATTTGTCTTCCATCTTGATATTTTTATTTTTATCTTTTAATATTCAGCCCTATCATGAATTCCACTCGTAGAATCCTGCAAATTACGAACATAACTACGACGTGTTAGACTTTTAAATGATCACAAAATTTTTTCGTAGAAATTATGAATCACCACCTGTGGCGGTGATCAAACATAATATCACATGTTTATTTATACTGCTATTTCAGTAAACAACTTTCATACGAAAGGATATTTTTTAAAATATTCATGCTACAAATATTGTTTGAACGTTTTGAAGCTCTTTTAGTTTTTGAATTTTTTTTGAAAAAAAATTTTTTTTGGCAATATCAATTCATTTCCTTTCATTGTAGCTGTGTAACTCAAACTCAAACCAAAAAATTCAATATTTGAAAATTAAATACGACTCCTCTCTTTAAATTGCTTGCTACAAGTGATTATTTCTTTCGTAGACTTTTGAGGATAATTTTTACTACGAACGTCATTTATGATTGTTCCAAAATGAATACTCAGAGCAGAATATTAGTAATTCATAATTGTTGTGTAAGAACAATTATTCTAAATTCTATGTTTCTTATTATTATTTTCCCATTTATTTCAATTACCAAAATTGCTAAAATTTTAATTTGCCAAAACTTAATATTAACGCACATGTATTTGCAAACATTATAGTTAGTCAATGCAAATATTTTCCCATATATAACTTCCCACAATATTTTAGTAGGGGTCAAATTACATATATTTTGTTTGTTAATTTTACTTTAAGTAAATTTGAAACCTATATGATACGTAAGTTAACATGGGAAAATTATGAATTTTATATTATGTTTGAGTTACATTGTGCGAAATAATTCATTTCAAGTAGTATAATTTTTGTATAAATAGTTCAGATGTTTAATAAATAGATTAATTAACTTGAAACCAAGCAACAAGAAGTTTTTCAATTAAACTATATAACAATAACCGTAATTTTCCGAATTTCAGAGCTACGAAAGAAATTCAGGATAGAGCTGCTTATATCTTGTCAATGCTTTTCTTTCTTATCAAAAATTGGTATCACATTAAATTTAAAATTTTTTTCTTGCACATACTTTATATACAGGGTGATTCAGTAAAGAGTGCATCAAAAATGGGTAAAAGTTTTGTTTGAAATTAGTTGACAAAACTCAACGGTTTCCGAGATACAGGGATTTTAACGAAATTTCATAAAATTTTTACTTGCCCCAGCGTTTTTGCTCATAACTTCCCTTCCAAAAGAGGTAGAGACTTCAAATTTCAGTTTCTGAAAGGACTAGTAAACGGTTTGAAAGCAACATATTACATGATTTTGTATTTTATGCACTTTTGGAATGCCAGGCATTTGAACTTTGGGAAAAATTTAATTTTTCTCTTCTTTTATTTTTTATTTTTATCCAACTGGATAATTTCATACAAAATATCGTGCTTCGCAAGCATTACGTATACGTTATATTTTTTAAACTTCAAAGTTTTTTTAGAAAATTTTAGCCAATTTTTTAAGTTTTAATTTGCTTCGCCTTCCAACTGAGCGCTTCATGCATTTAACGGGGAGTAGGTTGCGGCACTCCGTAAGGGGGTGTCTCCTCTTCTCTGGAATTTGGTAATTCAATCAGTTATTGGGCTGCAAGGTAGTCGCCTACACAGATGAATTGGCGGTGCCCGTGTCTGGCAAACACCTCCACGTCCTAAGTGTGCTGATACAGATGGCAATTAACCTCGTTTTGAACTGGGTGGCTTGCTCTGGGCTAACTATTAACCCTCAAAAAACTAGTCATTTTCATAAGGAGATATAAGATTTCAGGCGTAACTCCTTCAAAACTTGGCGGAATCCGCCTATCCCTTAGCAGGGAGGCTGGTTCAAAGCTGACGTGGAAGTCTTACATCATGGAGAGAGTAAAGATAGCAATTATTACGCTTTACTCGTGTAAGAGGGCCATCGGGCAAAGGTGGGGCATAAAACCAAACGTGGTTCATTAGCTATACACCGCCGTGATGACACTGGCCCTGATGTACAGAGTTCTGGTGTGGTTTCCGGCACTCCGTACTTCCTTAAACCTGAGATCAACAGGGCTCAAAAGATAGCAATAATATTTGTTGGTGGTATTATGCACTCCACCCCTACTCAGGCCCTTGAGATTCTCTTCTACCTGGCTGCCATTGGATATACTGGGCTGGCAGATGGCTGCGCAATCCGTAGTACGATTAAGAGCCGCATCACAGTGTTCGTGTGGTTCCATGGGTCACACTTCGATTCTTGCGGACTGGGGGCATGAGGTGGAGACAATTGATTTGGTTCTTTCTGTGCTTTCATTCGTATAGAATTTTCGGGCTTCAATCCTGCCGAACCAATGCTGGCGGGACGCAGCTTTATCCATTTTTACACGGACGGATTCACACTTGCAGTGTAAGCATCTTCCCGCACAGCTAGGCCGTGATGAGGGCGCTGGAGTCGGATACCTCTATGTTCAGAATGGTCCTAGATTGTAAGTTGTCTTTTATGGCGGGGCATTTCGATTTAAACTTTTTTTGGGTTCCCGAACACAGTGGGATTTCGACGAACTACAATTCAGATGAGCTTGCAAGACAAAGAACTACCCTTGGAATTCTACCTGGGAAGGAGAACCTGGGCATGTCTCTAAGCGCTTACAGATTGTTGCCACTGGTGGAACGCAGGAATCTCAGTTGGGCCAATGGAACAACGTGTAACGCGACAAGGTAGTTGTGACCCAAACTAGACTTCTTCAACGAGGAGAAGCAGGAAACGATAACCTACGTGCTGGGTTCGTATCTGGCGTTGGTGAACTCCAGGCAGAGATTTCTTGGGTCCCACTTTTTTGGGCCAGATATGGACAAACAGAATGTAAATGCTAGGGACTTTGGTCCGTTTCTGAGGAACTCGGACTGGTTCTAATGAGAGATACGGGAAATACGGCGACGGCAACACGACGGGCCTTGGTGGCCTAAGTGTACTCATCGGGGAGCCGTGCAACCTAACCTAACCTAAGCTTTAATTTAAGTCATTAAAAGATCTTGAATGGTATAGGAGATAAAAGAAAAAAACCATTTCTCAAGATTTTAAGGGCTCTAATAAAATGTAAAAATTTAGATCTCCAACGCTCGCAGAAGAAATAACACACAAAAAGAAACCAAAAAGAATAACATGTAGAAAAAAGAGGAAATCGAATAAAATGTATTCTTAATTCTGTATATGTTATATGGTATTCGTATCGTATAAAATGTACACCGATTTTCTGCACAACTTTTTAATTTTTGTTTTATTTTCATATTCTCAGTAAGTTGAATAAGCCTGAGCTTAGTCCGCAATGCATTTGAATATAGTGTAATTTATTGCTAATATTGTTATTGATTGTTATATTGTAGTTATATATTCTCTGCAAACTAAATTAAATCAGCAAATAAATTAGCACATGAATCATGAAATGAACACCTGAAGAATAGAGTCAAATATTTTTGTTATTTTTTCATGTTTTTATTTATGAACTTAAATAGCCAAAGTGGTTCTGCGTTAATTACATGAATTTTTATTGATATTATGTTATACAAGAAATTATACAAGACAATAGAAAACAACAAAAAAAAAGCTATACAAATTCAATACCATTCAACTTATTCACAGAGCAAAATTTGGACTATTTTATTTTTTTTGGGATACGTAATGCTTGCGAAGTACGATATTATAACATATTAGGATTATTTAGGTTGGGAATACATTGAAAGAGGCTAAAATCCTGTTTTCCGTTTTTTTTGTTATAATCTGTGCGCGTTTGGCAGGATGCGTGTGCGGTTTTATGTGCAAAATACTGAAAATTTGATTGTTCCGGTCCGTTTTTGTTCTGGATTAAGAACGAAAATAGTCCGCTGTTATCGTTTACCACTTTGGTTTTGTTTTTACACTTATATAAAATATAATGATCACATGACAAGTATTTTACTTCAATAAGAATGTAGTTTTGCAGAGCATTTGTATATTTATTCCAAACATATTATCCATTCGCTAGAGTAAAACCACATGACATACATTTAAGTTCCTGTTTATTTCAAATTATTACTGCTGGTTACGACTACTGCTGGTTACGACTTCTTCATTAAATAAGAAAACATAAAAAATTTTAAAGCTTCTTTAGGTATTTAGTTTCTTTAAATTTAAGAATCACCCTGTAGATGATGCTCAATTTATTACATATATGCCATTAAGTTTTTAAGCTTTTATGAATGTGTTTATAAAGATGCTTACATAATTTTTACCGACCGCTTTGTATACAATAAGGTAGATGATGTGATTGCATCAAATTTTGGCTGTCAAGTTTTTGGTGGAAACGCACTTCTCCATTGTAGTGAAGCGTAAATAAACTACTTTTAGAGAGATGTCGTTTTGTCGATTTGTATGGCGCGTGTGTTTCAAGTTCGGCAAAACCGAATTTAATTTTTTTTTATATGTGAGTTTACTTTTTCTACGGCACGGATTGATCAACTTTTGAAATATATCGGACCTCGGAAACCGAACCTTTTTGCGCGCCAATTTTACATTTTGAATCTATTAATTTTTTGAAAGATCAGGGCGCGGAAACCGCATTGGAGTCAATTCTACAATTTTTATCATATTTACGGAACGGAATTTCTTTAAATTCTGGTTGTTATCGAAACTAACTGGTGAAATTCTCAGGGAATTCGGGTGGTACAAAGCGAAATTCTGCTAAGAGCCAAATTTATACATTTCTAGATAAGTTAGCCAAAAGCTTGCTTACTTCCTTGAAATTGAAAAGAAGCGTTTAAAATGCATTATCATAATCTTTTTGCAACAATTTCACTAAAGTAGGCAATATACATTGCGGTCGGTTATTTGTTGGCCACATTATTTTTTTTTTGATGATTTAAATCGTGGTGAAGGTTTTTTTAAAT